CAAGCGAGTGAATTTTTCTCTTAGGTTCTCTTATAGGAAAATTCTTCAAACGCAGTGACATTTTGGGGCAAATCATCTGATTTGTCCTTACTACAAGTATATTGAAATAATATTCATATTTTTATTTCATAGAAAGGAGGAGAGGAAATCCCAAAAAATCTGGAATAACGATCGAACCAGTTTTATCAAGAAACAACACCTCAAGTTGGAGTTCATGTTAGTCTCTCCTATACAATATTTATTATTGCGTTCTGTTGCGTCAGTCGATCGCAAACCCGTAGAAGAGTGATGTTGTAAGGTATCTAATTCTGAAATATCCTCCTGCATGCGAAATATTCTACTACGCAATCGAATCTTCAGTTTGTTTAGAGGAAGCCTATTGAAAAAATAAATTAAAATAGCTTATGTGGGATGGATACTATTTGTGAATTAGGCATTGCTCCAAGAATATTCTAAAAAGTGTCGGCATTTGCGACGAACCAGAAGGTCTTCTAATCTAAACAACACAACAATTTCAACTTCGGTCCAACCTAATTTTTTGCCTTCAGTTTATATACGTATATATATACAGGGTGTTTCATAACTTATCGAAACTATTTCAACCATAGAATCCTGTGCTCAAAATATGAGGATTTGACCCGAATATAATCCCCTAGATGAAATGTGTCTCCTGTCTGAACTACAGGGTGTTTTATTCGGATATTGAAACTCATTTGTGTCTAGTCCTTTGAAATACTAATTGACGTATCATTGTCATATTTGGCGAGAAGTGCAGATACTAAACACCGTACTAAATTATGTAAAATGAACGTTTCTGGCTATAACTAGAGGCGTACAACAGGGGCAAGTGACTGGTTGGTCCTTCCCAAATTCTACGCCACTGGGGAATTGCCAATTTATCACTTTTTCGATTCTCCAATACTTTCTAGGAAAATATTGTTTTTTCTTCATAGCGATAAAGTCATTAATTTTCGAGATATTTCGAGTTAAACATGAAGCTTTACGATCATTTTGGTTTTTATGTGAAAGTATTAATTATACAAATCATATTAACAAATGGAACATGAGAACATAACAATTTTCTTATTTTTGAATAGGTATAATAAATGATGAACAGACAGGCGACACATTTTATCTATACCCAGACAGCACCAGATATTCCATGAATCTCCCTATCATATTCCTTTTGGAATATTGGAATATTCTAGAAATAATCTGGAATATTCCGGAATATCTGTGGAATATTCTCTAAATATGCGAATGGGAATTCCTCAGATAATCATAGAATATACCCAAAAGAATATTCTATGTTGAATGTTCCTAGAATATTCCAATAAACATATTCTAAAATAAAAAAAAGTGACCCAAGTAGGGATCGAACTCGTGACCTCACTACCAGAACAACGCCTTGACCACTAGGCCAGTAATCGAATTGAATAATGTTATACATATCAAGTCCTTGTGAGAGCATTGTTCGAAATCGGGTCATAAACACTTTTTGTTTCAAAATCCCCTCACATCTAATTGATGTTCGATACTCTCATCTCTGAAATAATAAATGGTATTTATGTGTTGAGAAACATAGGAATATTCATGGAATATAATAAATGGTATTTATGTGTTGAGAAACATAGGAATATTCATGGAATATTTCATGAATATACACCACAGAATATTCAGTTGAGAATATTTCATGAATATACCGCACAGAATATTCAGTTGGGTATATTTCATGAATATACCGCACAGAATATTCAGTTGGGTATATTTCATGAATATACAACAGAGAATATACAGTTGGGAATATTCTTGGAAGATTCATTCCTGAATATTCCCTGAACATGTCCGACTATTCACTTTGGAATATTCCTCTTAGATGTTCCAGAGGCATGTATATATTCTAGGAATAATCGATGAATATTCGGAATATACTCCTCCTTTTTTAGCATATTTAGAGAATATTCTATGAATATCCAGTGCTGTCTGGGTAGGTGATTTGGTTGATATCTCCATATTTTGAGCTCAGGATTTCATATCTGAAATATTTCCAACTAGTATACAGTGTATAGAATAGTATAAAATCTTTTGGAGATTTAGGTCAAAACCGGGTCAAAAACTATCGTCATTTAATGTTCAAAATTGTAACCAAGACAACTTAGCCTTGAGTAGCGCGCGAGGTGGCTCGCTTGTGTGTATACAATGAAATGTTCTCAAGTTTTTGTCGTTCTAGTGTCGTGATACTGAGACCATTCAAAGAATAACCTTGAATTTGCAAGAATTCTATTATTATAGGATTTCTATCAGATAGGTATACCACTTAACTGGTCCAGCGCCCATTTGAATGGAACTGCAACACAATGTTATAGGCATAAATAAATATTTTATAATAAATAATTCTGATTTTGGGGTGTAGAAAGTTTTGAAAAAATATTATATGAGCAGTTATAAGGACAGTCATTACCACAACGAAACAAACAAAAACAAGCTGTTGTTGTCTGCTTTTTCCACCAAGTGAACTCTGATCCCAAGACAAACATTGAAACATTTTGATTTTATGACGCTAATTTTCTAATTCCACTGGCATGGCTACAGTTTGTGGCATGGCAGTGAAGAAGGCGGGAAAAAAGGTTAACAAAAAAAATTTCAATAATTATTGGGCTATTGCATGACTTTCGAGATGACTTTACCTGTCAATTTCGTGGACTTGAAAGAAATCAATAAAATTTCAGAAAACAGATAATTTCAACTGTGACGCCTGCGACTATCAACTTTTTCAAATGGCATCTCTGAAAAAGTATTAAATTATCAAGCTGAATACCTACTTGGGAGTATTAAAAAGGTTAATGGAATATTGAAGATTTTCAAAAGACTATAGTATTTAAATAATAAATCCAAATAAAAAATGTCAATAGTTCACAGAAAAGGCGTACCCAGCGATGGGCAGAGGGGAAACGCCTCCACCACATAGAACCCACCCCACTGCACAGGAATACCTAAAGACTCGCCTAAAACATTATCAAAACCTTATTCTCGGTTGTTTTCAGTTCCCCATCCTTTCCTCGAAACAAATATGAGCTTCCCCTAGTTCAGATTCTGAGTACGCCCTTGGTCAAAGGAAGTAGTTTAATGTTACCTATTTCCAATGTGTTCAAATTTTTTTAAAATTAGTATATGCGTATTTTGTTGCCCATCAAAAGAAAAGATTTATGCAGTGGGATTATCGTCATGTGAACCGCCCTTATCTATCCTTGCCACTGTATAATTATGTTTCTTCAATTATGATTATTGCTAATGAAAAGCAGTAAAAACTGAAAAATATGGTTTGCATTGGATACAATCCTGACAAACACTTCCTAAGATATCGTGGAGAAACTATATCGCTATGATCTCGGCTATGATGCAGTCGAGGATGGAAGCACTTCAACACCCTGTAGCTCTCAAGCAATCCCTACCTACTTATTATAGCATTTAAACATGTACACTATATAGCTGCACTTTATATTCTCCAAAGATCGATCACTCACTTAATTTGCAAAAAAAATCGAGAAAAGACTAAAATCCTTCGTTGTGCGTCTCGGTGTGCATTTATTTTCATTCTTGAAAACTATATATACCGAGATATATACCTATCTCTGCAAATATAAATACTCCGGAAACTAGAAAACATTAGCCAAATACGAGGCCAAATATGAATGCTTAGCCACGTTTGAAATAATTCAGTAATAATTCAATGAGTTGGTATTGATATCAAAAATCTTTGGGCAGAAATGGAACCCTTCAAAACCAAGATATCTTTTGGATTACCAGGGCGTGATGAAAATGATAGCGATAAACAATGAGCATGTTCCGATATTCCCGAACAATACTTCCCAGTTTATTTTAAACAAATTTACTGGCAACGTTTCCGCGAGTCATTGGAAGGAACCCTATAGAGGCTCACAGTTTACTGTAGGCCAGTGGTGTAGAAATTGTGATGTAGTGCCAGTATTCATAAAATGTTAGGTTAAGCGTTTGAATCGTAAGGTATAGGTGGCTAAAAATTATATTATTATTATTATTTTAAAATACTTTGAGAAAATGTTTGAGTTCGTACTAGATGATCTCACAGGAGCAGTAGACGTTGAAACTACCACTAACTACAAGAGATAGTTTTTTATTCCCACTTTTGATATCTCGAAATATTTCACAGCTATGCGTCAGTTCTTCATCACTAGAAGTAGAGGTACTGAGCTTATTGTTCCTAATGAATCACACTCACTAGCGGATTATATATCTTCTAAAATAATATGAATAATCACTGCATCCATAATTTCAACGTGAGTAAAGAAAAGAAGATAATCAATAGGTTATGGTTATGTTTTGGTGCCAGTGTACTAGTACTGCCAAAATCGTTTCGAAATGCAATGAAAATTCCTCGGAAAATTTCACACCAAATATTTTCGATCAATTTAAAGCCTGTATTTCGTATCGTTACCATAGCAACTAAACAAATTTTATCCTCCTCCTTGGAAATTTTTCGACGTTTATAGGTTAAATGACATTTACATTCAACTTCAGATTATTTCGAGTTCATTCTATAAGTCAATAAATAAATATGATTTATCAACAGTTCACCATATAATATTATGTAGGTATACTTGCAAATTCGAAATGTACAAAAACACATGTTGTTATTATACGTTAGTTCTTACATTTCATCACAAACAACCATCATTTCAAACTAAATCATCTGAGAGTTGTTGAAATTCCTTAGCTTTAAATTGATCGAAAATGTTTGGTGTGAAATTTCCTTATCGAATACCACTTTAGCTTCAATCAATATCCGGGAGTTTTTTCTCGAACACGAATATTTAGAAAATTCTCCTGAGTCGAATTGAAGGTCTCGTGATATTATAAGTGGAAATTTGAAGCTGTGGCCAATAATGTCAGCAATATCGGAACAGGACCAAAACCGTTGCAAGTATTTTTCACATACAGATAACGAAAACATATTGTCGTACCTGCGTATGCTGGTTGACCGCCTCCTCTGCCGCAGTGGCGTCGCTGGCGCCGACCTTATTGCGCCGCCGCCCCACCCCCAAACCCGCCGCCTGCCCTACGGGCGGCACGTGGTGGTTCATCTCGTGCACCGTCAAACTCTGCTTGATATCAGCCGTGAAGTTGCACGCGGAACACCTGAACGCCCCGTTGCCGTTGTGGTTCTTGCAGTGTCTGTCCAGGTTCCACTTGTACGGCGTCCGGAAATCGCACATGTCGCACTTGATCATCGGCATCGAATGGTACTTGACGTGCTTGGTGTAGCGCGCCTTGATGTGCGTCACGTACGTGCACTTGGAGCACCGGAAGAACTTCGTCTTGATGTGCTCCTCGCGCTCGTGCCTCGTCAGCTGCTGCTGGCTGCGGCTGGAAAATTCGCACACCGAACACTTGTACACTGCCGGTTGCACCGCCTCCTCTTGTCGCCCGACCATGGTGTCCTCTTCTTCTTCCTCCTCGTCGCGCACCTGTTGCTCGCCGTGCACCATCTTCTTGTGTCGCAGCAGCTTCTGGAAGTGCCTAGACGCGTACAGGCAGTTCGGGCACTCGTAGATCTTCACCTTCTCGTCGTGGGCATCGCGGAGATGGTAAAGATAGACGCGCGGGTTTTGCGTGAAATAGTCGCACTCGGCGCACGTGTAGTTCCTCTTGACTTTGCAGTCGGGCAGGTCTTTGAGTTGGTCGGCGTCGCTGTTGCTGCGCACTGCTGTCGTTGCTGTTTCTCCGGATCGATGTACCATCGAAGGCACTGACATACTAACTCGTCGACGCCGATGCTCCTCCTGCGAATCAAGAGAGTTTGGGTGTGAGTTTAATTCGGTCGGGTCGGCATCGGAAGCGCGCCTACGCCGAAGAAGTCTCGGCTCTTGATGGATTTTTCAGGAGATCGGAATGCGAGCTACGAATATAGCACTGTTGCTAACAGAGCTAATTGCCAACACCACTGCTTGCGCAGTAAACAGACTGGCATATAATATATCTACAGACTGGCCTGCTTAATGTTGTTAATGGATATATTTCCGCTATAATTTTTGACATTTGTAGAAAAGATGTTGATGTTTGCAACTCGAACGCGAAATACTTTGGCATTCTGCGCTCTAGATACAGAAATAACTATTTCGTTATCAGATGACGGCAAAAATCTGCAGTCGGCTCTCCGACTAATACAAACAAAGCTCATCGTCAAATTTTGACGTTCGTTCAGACTACTCAGGAAATAATCGCATCGAATACAATTCGAACTTAAAACACTGAGAAAACATGGTTAACTAAATCGCTCAGTTAGAATTTCTTTATATAGTACCGATAATTGAAAATATTGGGATTTTTATTGACAACAAGAATACATCCCAATTTTCTACAAAAAACGTTGCTATTTTCACCTCTGTCTTTCTAAATTTCTATTGCCAGAGTTTTTCAAAATATCAATCTTGGGATCCACGATTTTGTCTTATTTGATCATGAAGCTTTCAATCATTTCATTTGGCCCTTCAGCTTTCAAATAACGTCAAGGAACCATACCCATATTGGGTATATAGGACGTGAATGAATAAGGGCAAAAAAGATTAGCAGGTGACTCCTTATCAGATTTTAGCAAATATCGTGTCATTAAGACTTTGACATATGTCAAGGTTCATTCAATTAATTCCGTGTTTCTAACCTTAAGTTGGATTTAACACGTTTTTGGCTTTTGGCCCCATCAATTCTAAATAGATTTCAATGCAAACAAAACACGAGCATGGAAACGACGATCTCACTGTGCCCAACATGAGCTTGTCAGGAGTAACCATACCTTTGGAGACATCCATTTCTATTACTATCAGCAATAACCTTTCTTGGGAAAATCACGTGAGATCAATTGCTGAAAGTGCATCCCAAAAAACTTGGTTTGCTGTTTCGAGCCAGGAGCTATTTCACTTCCAGTCAACTGCTTATGATCTTCAAGGCACAGATCCGACCTGTCCTGGAATACTGTTCCCATATTTGGAGTGCAGCATCCAAACATACCCTGAAACTGTTGGATTCTGTTCAAAATAGGGCAATTCGTCTCGTGGGTGATGCTTCGCTCACAAACTCACTCACTTCTCTGGAACACCGTATAAAAGTTGGCGATCTGGCTCTATTTTATAGATATTTGCATGCTCTTCTAAAATATCAACAATTGTTCCTCCTTTGGCAGTCCCCGCGAGATTAACCCGTCGAGTTGAGGCTTCGCACCCTTTCGTGGTCACTTTGGAGACCTGCAGAACATCTCTTTCCAAAGACTCGTTCATCCAACGAACAGCGAGGCTTTGGAATACATTGCCAGAAATTTAAGAAAAACACCAATTCCTACTTCATTTCCCTTGGTTCTCACAATGTTCTTTTTCCTGTTTTACAACAAAAAATGGTTATTACGAGCACCTTGTGTGCTCGTCAAGTTTGCCTTCTGGGACTTGACATTTGATTTCACAAGTGCGCGTTCTTGGGGCACGGGGCCCTTCACTTTTAATGAAAACCCGTTTATTCCTAATTCGCTAATAGTTATATTCCAAATTGCACCCGCTACAACTGATGGGTGACAGTTGACTCACTTAATAAAAATATCCTTAGATTGACAGATAACCTACCAGTCGTACATGCGTTTCGCACTCGATCAGAAATTTAAGGTAAGCTCAAAAAAAATAACTATTCAAGTAAAATTTTTCGCCGAAATTTAGATAGCCAAATAGTCTCTCCTCTGGTCTGTGAACGCTGTGCATGATAGCTGTATACTTCAATGGGATTAATATTTGTCTTCAGCCTTATCAACACCACCAATGACGTCAAAGTTCCTTTTGCGTTTTCCTTTACCTAAAAAATCGATATCGAAAAATGTGTAATATCGGATATGAAATGATAAGATATAAGTCGACTGTTATTCTCAGATCTTTTTATGTATTTTCCTCTTTAATCTGCTGTCCTTACATTTTTCTATGAATAAAGACGTATATAAATCGTATTATAACGATTGTACTTTCACTTTTACTAACTACATCACCCTGTACCCTGTATGACAATCTTTAATATTTCTGGAATGAAATCGTTCGTTAAAGGGATTTGATCAAACATATATATCAAATACCATTCTCAAAACGTACATTTTTCGGCAACCGTCTGGGAAGTGCTCACTTCCCAGCATTTTTCTTTGAGAAAGTAGCATTTTTCCGACATAGTCCGGGAAGTACGTACTTTCCGGACTAGGCTGGGAAGTATCAAATCGTTGTTGTCACTGTAACTATGAAAATCTTGGTAGATATGGTTTTGATAAATGCAGATGATAACTACCATAGCAGCGAAATATCGGCTGACAACTATTTGACATGAAATTAGTTGATATATTGATTTTTGAAAGTTTGGTTGCAATTATCGCAATAAACTATCCAAAAAAGCAGCTGCGATAGTGAGTTTGAAAATGTCCATACGATATTTCCAATGTAACAGTTAGTAGGTATAGGTATCCTGTTCAAATTTCAGTATTTGATACAAATGAGAATCAATAAAGAAGAAATTGTATTCTACAAAGAAATATAATAAGGAGATGTGTCTCATTGATTTGTTATTCTACATGGTTGCCGAAAAAATAGTGAACGCAACACGTCCAAAAACAGTATTTTACGGACTTGGTACGTACATTACTATTCTAGCGTAAAAATCAAAGCGTCTCTGACATAACCCCAAACCCCGGGTTATATCGGACGACGTTGAAATAAAAACCGTGCCAACTTTTGAAAGATTTTTATGTAAATATGTTCAGTAGGTTAACTTCTTGCTATAGAATGCATAATTCAGCTTTCATTTCTTCTAACAATGGAAATACAGGCAAATAATTGAAAATATCGTCCGATATAGCCCCGGTTGACAGTATCTATTGGGGTTATTGAGCAATCTCAGTGGGTGTTTTGAAAATACCTACATTAAAATTTCAGTTGACAAGAAAGTTGAATTTTAAATTTTTCAATCTAATGCAAGTATGAAGTTAGGACAAATGTCTATATGTACTTTTTTCCATAAAATTTGATAAGGAATAACTCACTTAATTTCTTCACTCTTATTCATCCACACCCTGTATATATAGACTCGTGATGATTTCAATCAATCCTTCTGTGTTTCGTCGAGAATAAAATGTATCCAAAGATATTTTTTGTATATCTAAAAACTTCTCCAATGAAGAGGCTTGTTTCAAACGACTCACTGTTATCCTACATAATCAAGAATGTCATGTTCATCGTCTAAAACAAACTTCGTGTTTTCATCTACCCTTTGGCATTAGGAAACGACAACCACGCCAACAAGAGACCAAATAATACATTGTCATGCCTGTCTCATGACCCATTAGTGTGACAGCCGAAGTTTCGTATCCAAACAAATATCGGACTTTATCCACAATTCGACCTCTCGAATTCTTCTGTGATTTCTGGAAATAATGTTTTCCTCCGATTGGCAGCAAATATTAATTTTGCTGACACATATCGATCAGCAAAGTATTACTTTTCCTGCCTAGGCAGCAAAGTGGGTACTTTGCTGCCTAGGCAGCAAAGTGGTTACTTTGCTGATTGATATGTATCAGCAAAATTAAAAATCCATAAATCGTTTATAATTTCCTTCATATTCCATCAGAGACTTCTCCGGCAACAAATTCAAATCTATATTTTTTGCCACCTCCCTTATTAATGGAGGTGTAAGTATACTTCCAGGTCGCTATCACTGTCCATTATATAATAATTTAAATATACCGATATTTTTTCGCACAACTGTCAGAAATTTCATGAATTGTCAAACCAACAACTGCGATTTCTATCAAATTTTATTTTAATTGAACACTATACAGGAAGAATAAAGAGATTGTGGGAATTGTATTAATTCGCAAATACAATATTCTCCCATATCATTATGAACAATCGGAGAAAAAATTATATGTTCAACTCGGCAGCGAAGTAGATTGACTGCCTTAGCTGGATTCCTAGCCTCGCTACGCTCGGCTATGAATTCAGCCACGGCAGTCAATCTACTACTTTGCTGCCTAGTTAAACAAATAACTATTCTGGGCTCGAAATATAATTAGGTTAGGTACGATGAACAATAACTAGACGATCCAGGACCGTCATCTGTTAGGTATACCTACTTTCGCACGAATTTTTCACCTCATATAAAAGTTGTTTTACAAATCTGTGGAGACACACTGTCTATTTTATATGGCATTTTGGCATCGCTATTCTGATCGTGAAAAAGTGTATTCTACAATATCTTATAAGATTCTTGTTTATTACTCAAATTCTAACAGAACAGCAACCATTTTTCTTTGGAAATTGTTTGTTTTATAACTTGAGCTATTGTTCCTTTCAAAAGTTCAGTGTTGGTTTTACCAGTGGTCTTTTGGGTGCTATAGCACCAGGCGACAAAATCTTCTGGGCGGTTATATAAAAATACAACTGCACATCTTTTGTCATCAGTCATTCGGGTCGATTCTGTTTGCAAATAGCAATATGGTTGTCAAGAAGATATTGCTATCATAGCCAGATTCGAAAAAGTGGAATTCTGATCATTGATTTTTGACAATATGATCTGTCGATTTCAATGACATCTTGTTAGCTTTCTTGCTATCTCGGCAACATCAATTTTGAGCTTGCTGTCTTATAACAAGGTAGAAAATGGCAGTGGATTCTTTGTTTGTGCACTAAAATTTTTCCAAGTGTTCGAAAATTTCGAAAATAGGTGGTTATGAATATATATTATG